TAAACGAATCTACTATTAAAAATTATTAATAAGTATAATAATTAAAGGAAAGTTAATAAAAAAAAAAACTCACGCTGAATAAAATACAATATAATGTTCAATGTCATTGTAAGGCCGTTTAATGTCATGTAAAGGTCAGCTTATTGTGTTCAATATCATGCCAATGTCAATGTAAGTAAAGAACAGAATAATGTAAAAGGAAGAGACCCACAAAACAAAAAAGAAATTAAATAAAAACGGTTCCAGTGATTTACACGAAGATTAACTAAATAAGAGAACATGCTCAAACATTTCTCTTAGTGTCAATTTTGCCGATATCTATTACTTAACTTTGTTAAGATAATTTGATATAAAAAACAAGAACAACAACTATTTATATTAAGAACTTTTCATTTCGCAAACTTTTTTTAATTATTAAACAATGCAATAAACAAAATCATGAAAATGTGCCAAAAAAGAATTTTTGAAAAACAAGTAAGGAAGGGCTAAGTTCGGATGTAACCGAACATTTTATACTCTCGCAAAGTCAAATGGTATACTCGTTTGAGATTTCTTTGTGGATTGGCTGATATTTTCGGTAGAAGGTCAACTATAGGCACTGGGTCCACATATTCAGTACCTAGGGGCTTGGAACACTTTTGGTTCGATTTAGAGAATTTTTGGTCACAAGGTGGCATACTTTAAACGTATTATTCACGCAAAGTTTTACGCCGATATAATCATTGTTGCTTGATTTGCATAGTGGAAAGTGAAAGAATCAAGTGGTATTTAAAATGGTGTCATATGGAAAATAGGCGTGGTTGGAATCGGTTGAGCAGATCTCAAGATATGGGTTTTCACCTAAAAGTGGGCCTATAAAGTCATCTTATACCATTTCAGAGATAAAATTTAATGTCTCTCGCGTGTTTAGTGCTTGATTTATCGCGCTTTTAGTAGTTTTTGACAGTACCGTTATATGAGGAGTGGGCGGAGTTGCCACCCGATTTCAACTGTTTTCACACCGTCAATAGAAGTGCTAAAAACATTTGCTTCTAGTGAATTTTGTTATTATAGCATTAGCGGTTTAGGAGATATGCACATTAAACGTATTAGAGGCGGGACCACGCCCACTTTTTAAAAAAAAGTTTTAACTGCAGATGCCCCTCCCTAATGTGATCCTGTGTACCAAATAACAGTCTTGTATCTTATTGCGGAGTTTAGTTATGGCAAGTTATTTGTTTTTGATTAATGGCGTTTTGTGGGCGTGGCAGTGGTCCGATTACGCCCATCTGCAACACCAACCGTCTCACGGTACCAAGAAACATGTCTACTAAGTTTCATAAAGATATCTCAATTTTTACTCAAGTTAGAGCTTGCACGGACGGACGGACGGACAGACAGTCACCCGGATTTCAACTCGTCTCTTCATCCTGATCATTTATATATATATAACCCTATATCTAACTCGATTAGTTTTAGGTGATACAAACAACCGCAACAACAGGTTGCGAGAGTATAAAAAAAAACGGTTTCAAACAATAATTGAACTTAACCTATACACTGCTCTTATAAATGAGCAGCGTCGAAGAAGAGTTAGCAGTTGTAGACAAAATATGAAGCTCTCTTAGTATAAATAAAGAAACAATAATGATGAAGGAAAAGATAAGCGATCATGCAAACCATTAAGCTGATTCAACCGTTTGACGGCAACATGAAGTACTTAGCGTTGTACATCGACAGCATTGTACCTCGGTACACTACAATCTCTTTAGAAGAGGCTGCATTTTATTTCAACTGCGTTACCTGCACTCTAAGAGATTCTGCTCTGGATATTGTAAGACGGGAGCAACCATGTGATTGGACAACACTATGACAATTGCTCATTGATGAATTTGTATTCATTTTGTAGACCTGTGTCTACTCCTATTTTGGAAATAAGTAATATAAAATTTAAGAATAGCGTAAAATTATTGTGCGAAGAAATTAACATAGAAGTACGTAGAGTAAAAGATTGTACCAAATTAAAAAATGACAATATTTCCACCGAAACATTTTTGTATAAAGAGGTAGATCAAATTAGTTTAAAGACATTAAAAAGGGAATTACCAAATTATTTAACTGCATTAATAAATGCAAATTTAGTAACAGACCTTTTGAAAGAAAATAATGTATTTGAAGATGATAGAAGACTAAACAAAAGCAAACTAAATTATAACCAAAGAAACATCGCATTTCCCAGAGTTTCTAACCTTTCTCACATAAATTCAAATATAGTAAATGGTAACGAGTTTCAACATTTTCCACCACCTAGTGAAAATCGATTTTTTGACTATTCTCATGGCAATAACTATCGAGGATATACCCTATCACCTAATAACTCAAATAATTTTTATCACTCAAATCCAAATGAGTGGAAATATTACCCAGAAATAAATACAGCTTTAAATTCTCATAATAGTTATAATAACAGAAATAATTTTAGTGCGCTTAATACCAATAATGTACCTAAAATAAATTAGCAACAAATAAGAAGGCAAAATGAACTTAATTCGAATCAATCTATAATAAGGCGATACGCCGCTCCTCAACCAATGGAATTTAAGCAGTCAAATTTTCAATTAGAAGCCTCGGAGGAGTGCCCGCGATCGAATTAAAGATCGAAGGTAAATTTTTAAAGTTCTTGATAGATACGGGGTCTTCTGTCAGTCTAATTAAGCCCCAGGTTCTTAGTAGTAGAATCATTGAAATTGAACCAATATTACTAACAACAGCTACATGAAAAGTATTACTTAAACAGATTCAAGAAGTTTTCGACAATTGCCATAACCACAAAATGATATTTTACGTTTATAATTTTTCCGATAATTACGACGGATTAATAGGTTACAATACACTTCGTCAGCTCAACTCTAAGATCAATTTAAAAAATAATACAATTAGTTTACAAGGACATATACACAAATTTTTCGACAATGTTAAAAATTATACACACACTAACTTACTAACCGAGTTGAATATTAATGATGACAAATTTACTGCCAAATTTAGAGTCAACCATTTAAATAATGAAGAATCGCAAAAATTTAATAAATTGCTGGGGAAAAACAAAACTTTATTTTACAAAGAAGGTGAGAAACTTACATTCACTCACAAAATTAAACACAAAATTAAAACTATTCATGAAGATCCAATATATGTTAAATCTTATAGATACCCAAAAGTACATAAAATGGAAGTAAATAAACAGATAAAAGATATGCTGGAACAAAAAATAATTTTCCACAGTACTTCTCCTTATTCTGCACTGATTTGGGTGGTGCCTAAAAAGCTAGATGCTTCAGGTAAAGAAAAATGGAGAATCGTTGTAGATTACCGAAAGTTAAATAATATCACTCTGGGTGACAAGTACCCCATTCCAAATATGGACGAGATACTTGACAAGTTAGGTAAATGTCTATACTTCACGACGGCGCAAGGATTCCATCAAATCGAAATGGATCCTATAGATAGACAAAAATACCTTTTTCTACTCAAAATGGCCGCTTCGAATTTTTGAGAATGCCATTCGGTTTAAAAAATGCACCAGCCACTTTCCAAAGGCTGATGAATACAGTTTTGGAAGGTCTAATTGACAATTGTTTCAAAGATTAGCTGAAGCGAATCTAAAAGTACAGCCGGACAAAAGCGAATTTTTGGCCATGTTATTACCCCTACTGGCATA